CATGTAACGTCCATAGGAATTCAATACCGGTCGTAACGCGAAAACGCGTGCGAGTGGACGCGCATAACGCGAATCTGCGAATGGCAGCGAGACTGATTTGCAAGTACAACCGCGGATTTAATACAATGGTTTTATCATAAAGTAAATGACATCGCGTTGTTGCGCTTACTCGAGCAGCACGCGTTGCATAACCCCGTGTACGCTTCATATCGTTCGTCGAAATTGCGCAGGTGAGTTCGCGAAGGTGTCCAAGGCCTTTATCAATAGCTGCCACTTTGTCTCGCACGGAAAAAAAAGATCTGCTAATTTGCTACGTTAGCCATTTTTCTTGCTGTAGGCAAGAACTTTCTTGTTATCATAGCGAGAAAATAGGTTCCTGCAGCAAAGAAAAGTAGCTAACATAGCGAATTATATTTAACTGTCCATATGTAGCAAATTAGTTTGCTGCTGCAGCCAATTATTTCTTTCCGTACGTGTGAGATACTCCAATTTTTTTAGAATCGGATCCAAGTTGTTCAGTTCAAGTTGTTCAGTGAAAATTTCGATATGTGATATTTATATGTATATCTGCAATTCAACTAGAAAACTCTCATTTAACTTTGAATCTGAGTATTTTCCTCGAGATGAGTTTTAAGTAATGACTCTTAGAGAAGGAAAGAAACTCGACCGGAAGATGCAGAAGAATCGAGCGGCAATTGTATTTTGAAGTTATTTCCAGCAAATAAATTTCTCCCAAATATTTCAGACACATTAATATTACATAATGCGACATTAATATGTATATGAAATAATAATGCATCTATTCATTGGATTCGATAGACGTAAAGAAACAAAGAAGTGTTTCAACGAAAATTCAAAAGGCCCTTCCGGGGAGACTGTTAATTGTCTCGCAACTGAGAAAGAAGTGCCTCGCAAATATTTTCGCTGGTCACCGGCGGATGGGGGAAAGGATCATAATCTCTCGCGGAAACGTTTATAATCTCCAATAATTAAGTTTCACGTATAAACGAGTTTGGCATGCGGTCCGACGCGCCAATTACTGAAACGGACACTCGATTGATTGATCGAAATACGAGGGGAGGAGGGAGGATGTACGTGTGTGCCGACATTGTTCCACGTCGTCCCGGCTCAGCAATCTACGTGAGTCGCTCGAAGAGTGTTTGGACTGCGAATTCTACCGAGTTCAAGTGAGTTGAAACCATTTCCTCGTCCGTTGATACCATTTCGCGGGTTCCCTCAGAAAAGTATTTCGCAGCTTCTACGGAGAAAATGATTTTACGTCTACTTTGTTAATTCACCGTCAGATATTGGATTGTACGGAACTCGTATATAACGCGTGTGATATATTTCCAATTTTATTCGTTTATACACATACACACTCACACATTTATTCGCTCCGTGCACGAAGGGAAAAGGTGTCTCATTACTGTTTCCATTTCTCTCGTGTACAACTTTTTCGACCAATTTGCCGTTCACTTTACTTCGACTGCTTGAACTTTTTCGCGGACGGTCTCGCCCCGTAACATCTCCACATTTCCAATATTAAATATTTCGTCATCTCAGAGCATAATTCAACATATTGGTCAATCAACGTAATTAATCAATCAACGATAACTATAACCCAAGAGCTATTCAACCCTTCGGAAGAGTAAGACAATCTGTAAGTGAATTTTAGGTTTGTTTATCACACGTTACCCTCGTATCTTTTTCGCGATACAGCCGTTGAAGGATTCATTCAATGCGGTGGACCGCCACGTTGCATTTGCAAACTACACCGCGCTATCTCGCGGCGAGAATCAATCGGCACGAATTAACACATTTCTCCACGTATAAATCGACCTAACCCGAGCGGGAGAGGCTCCATCTCCGCCTCTGGATATTCAATCAGCCGGCTGGTGGCGGCAACTTCCTTCGCTGAAACTAAATAGTAAGCTTCGGTTCTCGCAAACGGGAATTATTTGCAAGTCGGAGCCGAAGCCCGGCGTGACGGCGGGACCGCGCTCGTGCGTACGCAGCGAAGATGATTCGCAGTCGGAAATCTATGTCGGTCGGGCATAAATTGCTGATTAGTGAGCACCATCCTCCAGAGTAGTCGAGGATTAACTTATCCAACAGCCGCCGCCGCACTCGTTATTGACCGTGCGCCCTTGTGAAGGTTCCATTGCGAGCCGATAGACGGTCCTCCGTGTGATATCCGATCGGCACGTTAATCACGCGGGTCTCGCTCACGCTGGATAATTGTCGAGATAATAGCGTACAGACTGTTTCAGAATGAGCGACCAGCTCGCTCTTTACCACCACTGGTGTTCGCTTTGACGTACCCGGAGTCTGTTGTTTTTTCAGCGCGAACGTCAAGACTGATCGTAGCGCGTTTTGACATTTCGATCTTCGTCACTGAGATCTGCATTGACAGATCGCCACGTGAAATTGGAGGTACTCGCGTAGATGGTAGTTGGATCTAGATTTGGAGTTAGATTTGAATTCCTAGGTTAAATCATACGATGTCGTGGACTAGACTGGTCTATAATTTTTGGAGTGATTCTGTGAACTCATATTTGTTTTATACAGTGGGAGAAATTTCATTTTTTAAAAAGTGAATTCTGTCGTCGAACAAGATGGAGATTTCGTGAATTTCAAAAAGTACGAACAACATGTCTGTTCGCGACTATATGTGGCATTGTATTTGTGATAGCGATTCAATCGGAAAACTCGCGTCCAGCTTTAAATTCCGAGTATCTTGCTTAAGATAAGTTTCAAGAAATGACTGTTATAAGCACTTAACAGTTCTGTCGACTTGACTGTTCTTAAAAGCCAGATTCGCTAAAGTGTCATTTTACGTGAAATTAAACGAAGAATAAACTTTCATTACGCTTTTACGTTACAACGTTTGAAGCTTAGTCGCTGATCTTTGCAGTTCTCTTTATTAGCAATTATGACTCAATTTTATGACTGAGATATTGTCGACTTATCTTCAGCAGTCTCTTCGTAGAAGAGACCTATGTGAAAACTGCATATTAGAATTCATAGATAAAACGTATATAACTCGATAGATCGCGATGGTAACACAGTCTATATATATCCCGTTATCGATGACGTCGGATAGGAAAGAATGGTCGATTTGCAGAGATGCATGCCGGATGATGCAGTGGTTTTTTCACGATACGTTACATTTCATAGATTCGATTACTTCCACGTTAACGAGAGTTTCGTTTCGAGCGAGTTTTCTTTTACCCTTCCACTAGCTAATCGCTTACTCGCGGTAAAAATGGGTTAATCAGGTTTTATAGCACGGCGCGCCTTTGGCGTATTATTCCGATATTTAAGTTGCCAGTAAATTACCACTATGTGCGCCAGCAGATCGCTATCAAATCATGATTTCTATTATTTCTGTTATTGGATTGTTTACTACGGCCACTGAACACGAAAAAGAATGTCGCTCTGGTATACTTTTATACACACACACACACACACACACACACACACACACACACACACACACACACACACACACGACAAAATTCGTTTTGCGCGGCAGATTTCTGTAGTTCAAGCGAGTCTTTTGTCGGATTGTCGCGTTCCGAGATATCAGAAACGTATTCCGTTGAACGTATTTTTATCGAAGCAACGAAATAATGTCGCTGGCTGTGAAAATGGGGTGACATAAATTTGTTAGCGTCGGGAACTTTTACCGTAGCGTACCGGCGCTCGTTATAATGTTACGTCGAAACAGCCGCGCGTTTCCAAATGGCGTTACATCGTAGTTCCGCGGGCAAAAATAAAGCGGACTGGCGTCCTTAATCGAATAAGCCGCCGCAAAATGCAATGTGAGGATTAACACAAATCAACACTCCCTTAGAGATCGGAGGAATTCTCGATTCGCTGCAATTGTAATTTCGCCGATTTGGTTTACATATGAAAGGAAATGAATGGGACACGCAGGAAATATGCTGGCAGAGCGCGAAAGAACAAACAGAACCAAGTCTTGCTGCTGTGAATAAAAAACAAACCGTTATTCCCAATTCAATCTCAGGTGGGTTTCACTTTGGTAAAACCGTCGAAGGCCGCGTGTTAAAAACTCTGGAGGAAAAGGTAGGGTGCAATCAAAGTTTCGTTGCGAGAGGATCGACGTCGAATGAATAGGTGAAAGGAGAGGCGCGCGCGAGCGCGCTGCTAGCCTTGGGGAGCTCGCTCTATATTATGCCGTGACGTAACATTTCGCAGGATTTATGTTCACTCCTTTTTTCTTCCTTCTTTCTTTCTTTTAGCATGCGTTACGCGCGCGTTACGAGGCTGCTGCTAATAAGTATCTCGCGTATAAATCATTGACTGATCGCAACTGGAGCTCGTTGACTGAAATTGATTAGCCATTTCGCACGAGTGACAGGAGAGCCGCGCATTTTTCGACGCCTGATAAATTATTCGCGGAGACACATCGCGGTGATAAATCGCTCTGTACTTTTTGTTTTAGCAGCGTGTACGCCCGGATACGAGTAAATGAGCGTTAATTGCGCCGTATCGGCAAGAGTGATTGACGACACCCCTGGCTAAGTTTCCTGTGCGAGCTGTCGGATTGACGCTCGTGTGGCGAATCGACGGTTCAAAGCCGAGAAAAAAAAATTGCCCGGCTGTCATTAGCGTATGGAGTGTAAGAAGTTCTCGGTTACCAGGACAAAGGTGCATATCGCGTGTCCATCGTCACATTGTGGTTATCCATTATAGTCCGCGCGCGGAACGGCGAGGATGACAATTCGCGCCTCGCAGAAACACGACGCTGGTCAGTTTCGGACCGATGAGAGCTTTCGCTTCAATCTACATGGCTTGGCTCCAGATACGTTATATCTCCGAATTGTTCCCGGCAATTGTCAGCATGGATTCAGCGACTTTCAGCAACGGCACAAGCATATCCTAGATATCCAATTAAGTCACATTGTGACTTAATTGGATCTTCAGAAGTCGGAGAAGTGGGAGGGAATACAGCTCGAGAAATTAAAAGTACTTACACTTTTCAATTTGAGAGTAAATCGTTACACGAAGGCATGTGTAGTAGACGATTGTGCAGTTTGCGACGATAATTGGAGTGTGTCCTGTACGAAGGAAAACCCACTGAGAAATTGCATTTGCATAGCTGCTTTTCGTTATGGAAGTAAGTCACGAGTTGCACCGCCACGCGTCCTCGAGTGGTCGACTGCTTTCTTCAGGACGAATATAAGAGAAACATCCCTGTCGTGAAGCTGTTTACATCTGGAAATTGTCCACTTCAGTGTGCAACGTGTTTATGCGGATTGAAGTCTCTCTCTCTCTCTCTCTCTCTCTCTCTCTCTCTCTCTCTCTCTCTCTTTCTCTCTCTCGATATCGAAGGAAAATAGGCCATTCGCGCGCAAATGTCAATCGCGATGTCTCGTCACGCGCGTTTCCTCCAAATGAATCGCTCGGTAAGTTCACCTCGTGTTTTTCCGTGGCGAGCATTCGGCAACGAAAACATGCGACGTTCTCCATCTCCGGCCTTGTTTTCATGATTCTCTCCTTTTCTTATCTTTGTTCCCCCTCTGTTTCATGTGCCACGCATTTCCTACGTTTTCCGTTGCGTGCGCGAGTCGCGTTTGCCGCGGCCGGCGCTGCGAATCCGTCGGTGAAAAACTGCCGGCAAAATCGCCACGTAACGCTTGGGGAAAGGAAAGAAAAGAGAAAAATATCGCCGATTGCCACACGCGCGAGCGCGACGATAAGCGCGAGTAAACAGGATCGACAAGAAAGTTTCGCGATAATTCTCCTCGCCGCGTAGAAATTGTGACGAGCGGTGAGTCCCGAGGTAGTAGCAGGCGCGGAAACAAAGCGCTCATACTTATAAGATGAAAGAAGGGTAGGCTGCTCGGGGGCAGGGACTGTGGGAGATTGCATAAATTTGCAGACTGATAAAGCTCGGTAGTGCGTTACTCGTTTCTCGTTCAAATTTATCCTTCCTCCGCGCCGGCGGGAACGAGCATTCGGCGAGACAGAAAAGCCCGGGAGATGAGAACGATAAAATGTGTCACGGCCGATTTCCGCGAACCGGCGTAACTGCTCCGCGTAATCGTAATGCTCCGCGCTTCTCCGGAACAAATCTCTTACGACAATGTAGAGGGAACGCATGTGAGATTCGAGTGTAGCGTTTGCTCGCTCCCTCGTCGAGCCACGAGCATTGTACGTATTCGTTTCTCTCCTGTTTCACGTGTGTACATGACGTTATTTTATTCATGTTTAGCTAAGCTAAATTAATTAGTCAAGCTAAATAAAAAGCTAGCTTGCTGGTGACGTGTGAAATGTCGGGCCAACCCATGAGAAAGATAACGGAATATGCCGGGCACGGACTATACCAACTACATTAGTGCACGCATAACATTAGGCAATTATTCAAATAGAGCGGAGCGGATGTCGCTGTCCTGCGTATGCTCCGTGTAATTACTGGACTATTTTTTAATCAAGGGCGTGATTAACGTACGTCTCCTACATCTTGAGCTGAAATTAGTGAAGTATGATCTGTGCGATTTGTGTTGTCTCCTGAAAAATATGCCCGGCGCACGCAATCCTTTAATTATTTTTATAATCTCGCGGATCTAGATATGCCGAATATATTAAGGTTATATCTGAATTCGGGATGTGTACGTGTCACACGTTGTATTGTACTTGAGAGTGGGTTTCTTTTCATAATACACGTCGAGAGACTTCAACATTACATCTGATTTTTCGCGAAGCAATGCATTTGCGTTTTATAATCTAGAACGGAATAATAAAATGCGTTACGACCGGCCGGAGACACGCCGAGTGTTCATTCCACAAGCAGTAAGAAAGAGAGAAAGGTAGGGATTTCCGATATTCTTGGATAATATAATAATAGCCCATGCTAATTGGGGTCTCGTTAAGTGGCGGAGATGAACCCTTTTATTTTATGCAGCCATATCGGCTCGCCGATCAATTTCATTTGCGCAAAATATTTCTTCTGTTTTCGAAGTTATTGACGGTGCACCGTGATATAAGACGCTGTTACAATCGATTGCGCACGCAGAATTCGAGACAAACCTCGTGTTACTTAAGGTCTACCAGAGCGTGTCCTGCGTGAAGTTTCTCACATTTTTTCCCCATGGCGAATCGATGAACACATTAGCGGCTCTTATATCGGGAAGAAGTGAACGGGACGTCTCTCCTCGTCGCCGTCGCAAAATCATCGAGAGATAACGATATTATCATGCAGATACGCGCTATCGTAGATCGCGAATGAAGAAAATAATGTGCTGAAAGAAGTGCTTGTCAATCTGATAAATATTGCGTGTCATTCTTCTCTAAACTCATAAATATGTATCGTGCGCTGCGCGCTGCAACGTACACTCGGTTGAATTGCGTTACTGTACGGGAAATATGTAACGCCATCGATCGCGTTACGTACGTGTACAAACGAATCGGTCGTACTTCGCCGGGCTAGAAAATCGACGAGTTAGCGATAATGAATCTCTCGCAGTGCGACGGCAATGCGGCGCGTCGCTCATCATCCTTAAACAACGGGCCGGCAAAGGGGAAAATTGCCATGTATGAAACATAATTATGATGCCAGCGCTCTTTGACGAGAACTTCGCGCAGCTAATGTGCCGAGCTTTCATCGATGCATTACGACGTAAACACGTGAATGTTGTGCGCGACAACTGGTAACGTTTGACCTCTCGATCGGGATTCAATGAATATTCACATGCAACAGTTTATAACGTGTACAAATAGTGATGCGCGTGGAAATTCAGTATATTGTTGCGACATCACTTGCTATCCGTCGTACGCGGTCAGTCAAACAGAGATCAAGAGATCTTATGAGTGCAGCTTTCATTTCAGCGCGCGTCAACACGGTCGAGCTCCAACACGCTCTCCACACAGAGAGTTTACGATAATTCGAGCTTAACTTAGTACGAGTTAGTTTTACTAGGACCGAAATATATGATAGGCACAATCATCTAGTATCTTCGTTATTCATGACAATTCAATGCTGTCCGATAAATCGAATAGAATAGAGTAGAGTAGAGTTAGGGTAGCGTAGCGAATATTATATGTATAAGAATTAACAATATCAGGTAATATAGTTTCATAAAATATGTAACAATAATATTACAAAATAATGAGTTATTACATTATAGAAAATTAGGAGCTAATAGAAGCATTATAGAAAAATTTTCTAACATATGTTAAAAAATTGGCAACACATCTAAACAGAATATCTTGGTTAATAATAAGTTAGAATAATAGGTTTCTAATTTGGGTATTTCACAAATACATGATACTTTTTCATAATTTAATTTAGTGTTTCTAATTTTTCTATAATGTAATAATTCATTGTTTTGTAATATTATTGTTACATATTTTACGAAACTATATTACCTGATATTGTTAATTCTTATACATATACTGTTCACTACGCTCCCCTAACTCTACTCTACTCTACTCGATTTATCGGACAGCATTGAGTTGTCATGAATAGTGAAGATACTAGATGCTTGTGCCTATCATATCTTTCGGCCCTAGTGAAACTAACTCGTTCTAAGTCGAACTCGAATTATCGTAAACACCCACAATAACCATTTCGCTCCAACTTTTGACGAGTGCTGATTTAAAGACAACAAATGTACAAAATCGCGACGGTGCCACTATTAATTTCGCCGGTCTATGATTCACTAGCGGAGGAGAAACGAGATATCTTCAAACATACGACATTACGAATGCATGATGGACGTTTCGTACGCTTGAAATTAATGTTAACACGATTCACACACCTGATTTTCTTATCAAGGATGTTGCGACGCGTTTCATCGGACGGAGATACACTTGGAATAAATCGAGATGTTCAGTTAACCCTCTCGCTACCAACGGAATATATATTTTCACTATCATTGATAATAACCTTATTCGATTGAATAAATAGTTTTGTTTGGTATTCAAGACATATCAGCTGTCCATTTGTTACCACGTTGGGACAAATTTATATATTTATGTCCTCCCAACAATTCCAGTAGGATCTCAATGGCCCTTTTTGGCGTCAAATATAACACTTTTAATTTCTTTACTAAAATTATATCATATTAATATATTTAATGAACTGAAAGTAAAACAATGGTATCTTTAAGTCTTTGAAACAAAATAACAAAGGAGTTAAGCTGGCCAATTTACCAATCATGTTGAGAATTGTCGAATTGTAAGGTCGCCATTTTTGTAAATACTCGATCGTAATTGGTCAATTCTTACGTTACGTCTTACGGTTACTGTTACGGAAAGTGTGTGTGTGGCCAGCTTTAATCGATGATCTGTCAGTAAGCCAGGCGTGAGGACTCTATAGGCTTGAACAAATCGCAAACGAGTGTTGGCGCATTAGCGCTCGTTTTTTTTCGGCAGCATTAACGCCATTGGGTGCGCGACAAGTGATAACATCGTCACACGCGCGATTGGAATACTATTGACCGACTATACGAAGTATGACTAAGAGAAATGAATTTTCGCCCTTTTCCTTCATAGGATCTTAATATGTAATACACGGCCGTGCAAAACGAGACTGTGGCAGTTCAGTCGAGTCAGCTAGTATAATTGTGTCTTTACGTGAGGTAATTCCTGTTGCGTTCGCCAGGAAATTAACATGTGTTCGAAGGAAAAAACGCGATACACCACGTACAGAGGTCGCAATCAATTTCATCGAGTCGCGATTCGCGCTACACAGCGGCGAGTCGAAATGAAATATGTGTAATAAAGCTAAAAATTATGGACGGGGAAATTCATTCGCGAGTTTACACGCGAGCAATTAAACAAGGAGATATGCTTTCTATCGACAGCATTTTCTCTCTTACTTTTTTTCTTTTCCCATATACAAGCAACATTATACACGTGTACTAAGCCCCTACAATGGCAACTTTTTTTTAGGACGTAATCATAAATATAAAGCGCGAACCACGTCGTGCCACACGCGACGAGTTTTTACATTTCATTTGCTTGACCTTGGCAATTCCATCTCAGCCACCCGCAAGAAGATATCTATTATCGACAGCGGTACTTGGAGTAATCTCGTGTTTAATAGCAGTCAAGTTTGGGCTCGCTCGCACAATTCCATTTGCAGCGATAGCGATTTCTCAATAGTTATTATATGCCAACACACAGGAAGCCTTGTTTCTCGAATTCTCTATACATTTGTTAGCCGGCTCGTTTGTTTGGCAAAGAAAGACAAGTAAACAGAAAATAAACAAAGGAAGTTTGAATCGCGAGGTCTCTCAATATCGAGAATGAAAAGAGAAGAAATGAAAAATTGACACAGATAACAACGAATACTCGCAAGACTCTCTGCGGGGGAAGAGTCGGAAAATCGGGTAGAAAACTCTTCCACCGTCTGTTCAACACCATTATCCTTCTGCGAATGGAATTATGCCGCCCAAAATTCTGTCTTAGCTCCTATTGGCATGAATTTTCCTACAAGCAACGAGTCCTTGAATAATTCCTTCCTTACAAAGAATTCCGTTCTCAGAATGTGCATATCGACAAGATGCGCGGATGTCTCATTTTGTAAACGCATTAAATACCCTCGGCATATTCTAGTGATGTGTCTCTATCGTGTCTCTTTCGCATGTTCTTCTAGGATGTCCGAGAGGTGACTGGGTGCTGAGGAGGAGGAGAGGGCGCAGTGGCATCGAAGGGGTTGCTGCCACCTCGGTCTGGTTGGAATGGAGATGAACGGCACCGAAAGCAGCCTGAACGGCACCGAGGTCAATCGCACATCCGCGCCTGTCTTCACCATTGGGACGGATTTTATCACGCAATGGTGAGCGCGAGCGCACGCAGTGCCTCTCTTTCGGGCTACCACGAAGCCCGCCGCACAGTGTGCCAAATTTGGTGGACAAAATTCTGCCTACATCACAAATCTGCATCGATTTTGATGAAACTTTTTTTAAAATACTGTTTTGTAAAATACTTTTAAAGTACTTATATTACCATAACTCCTAAATCTGATTACCCGCGAGTTAAAAATCCCATAATCCTAAACTCCATAACCCTGTTACGAGGTCATGGAGTTTGGGGTTATGGGATTTTTAACTTGTGGGTAATCAGATTTAGGAGTTATGGGACTATAAGATTTGGAATGATGGAGTTTTGGACCATGGTGTTATGAAGTTTGAGGTAATTAGGGGAAACAAGTAATGGAGTTTGGGGTTATTTTTTGGGGTTATGTTTACTTTTTTCAAATTTTTGACAATGAGACAATATAGTAGAACTATTCACGAGTATTTTAAAAAAGTTTCATCAAAATCGATGCAGATTTGTGATGTAGGCAGAATTTTGTCCACCAAATGTTTTGTCCAACAGAATTTTGTCCATCAGTGCTTTTTGACACACTGTGCATCGGTCCTCGAGCGGAATGGAGGTCGTGAGCGGACGCGAATTGAACGCGAACGTAAACTTTCTCCGAAATAGTCGGGGTGATACAGTCCCACGAGCTCCTCGGCAATTTTAGCAGCCGTGCCGCGTCTACCCCGTACGTGGCCGTGCTTATTGCTATTTCCACCACGGCTGACACGAGCCTCATACACCACTGGTGCGAATCTAGCGTAGGGAATCCCGTTTCACGCGAGCGTGTCGTTGTAACTTCGACGTTTCGTCGTAACTTCAGATCGCTCAAAAGTCTCCACGGCATCGCTGATGTTTAGAACAGTCGCGCTCGTTAATCTCTCGAGGGAGCCATAAATCGCAATGAAAGCCGCATGGAAGCTGTATCCGTGAGGAATAACGTCGGCGCAAAAACGAGACACGCGAGAAGAAGGATCAGCCTTGTATCTTAATTATCGAGGAATTTCTTTCTTTGAAGTGTCTTCCAAGAGATTGCGCGAGAGACTGTGCGGCCTTTTGCATCTCTCGCGCGCCGCTTTCTCATATGGATTACAACGACGAATAGTTCTCCAATATGTACTTCTCGCTGGCGTGAACTTGCACTCTCTAGCGTCGTCTAGCTCGTCCCATCGATTTTCGACATCCCTGAAGGATTTTACGCTGTGGGAGTTTCGGGGAAGACAGATCGATGGCAAACTCGCGCTAATAAGATAATAATGATTGACGTTGTTCATTAACACACGCGGACCGCTCTACGTTACATCCTACGTGCGAGAGCATCGTATTTTCGTGGCTGGTTAATTTTTAAGTGCTCCAAAATTTATATGCGGCTGTTTGCACGAGAAGTCCGACGTCTGCGTCGAATCATTTGACTGTTGGTTATTGCGAATCGCTCGTGTGACGAGGATTAATCTGAAATTCCGAGCGAACGCGACTGATTCAGGGATGCAGCAGAGAATGAAACGATAAAAGCGATGTCCCATGTCAAACGCACGTTGGTTTAATTGCGCTTTTTCCTGTTTTCACGCGTTTCCTAGGTTCCTGAGATATTTATGGAAATTAATTTCGCCGAATCGCATTTGATTTGCTAACGAATACGCCAGATAACGCTGGCTGGTGACGGCGGAAATTCGCTCGGCAGAAGCGTGCTGTTTGTTCGTGACGATCGCAGTGTTGGATTTAACGTCGCGCGCGATGGGTTGCAAAGCTAAATAAATTTCGCTACGCTCGTAGCGCCGCGACGAGACGCGAGAATGCTTCTCGAGGCTCGCCGGTAACGTATCCGCGCCTCATCACCGTAATCGAGATCGAGACCGTAACGATAACGATAACGCGGTGCGGCGAAAATGCGCAGTCCGATTAGTTTCGCGGGAACATAGCCCGCGCGAAAACCGAGGGAAGTTGAACTCTGCCATAGTGAGCGCGTCTAGATAAGCGATTCGTCATTTCGGCGGAATGGCCCCCTTGAATCCCGAGCGGCTTCGCCGAGTTGCCGTTACCTCTGGGACTGCTCATTATCGAGGAGTAATAACATCACGTCGCGCCTCTTATACAGCCAACAGTCCCCGTTTGTGTTCCTCCCCCTCGCCGGGAATATCAAGGCTGAAGGAAATGAACTTTCGCCGGGGACGAAATTGAAGTAAAAAAGGAGAAAAGGAAAAATTCCCTTGGCGAGAAGAGGGCCGCCCTTTCTCGGGACAACGCTCTCGTGTTTCTCTCTCTCTCTCTCTCTCTCTCTCTCTCCGCGTGTCTTAATTCTGTCGAATAATAAATTCCACGATTCTGGTCCTTCGAGAACTACTGCAATTATTTTTTCTTTCTCTGTTATCGTCGTAAGATCGTGCAATAATTTTCTCAGTTTGCTTAGCATGCGTGAGATAATCGGCTAGTTCAGCCGAAAGTTCCGACTTCACCTTGGCCTCGATAGGATCAACCGAAGATTCCTTGTATCGCGATGTAGATGCAGGTTCATGTGAATGTAGGTAGTTCATATCTCACGTGCCCTCATTTTGATTCGAAATCACATGGCAAGTATCATTAGCTAAGTATCACTCGCGTACTCGATATTGCAACGAGCGTAAAGAGGGAGATGCCTCCACTTTCGCGGCTTTCCGTGAGTCGAAGTTACAAATATTGTATGATGCAAGTTATAAATACCGAATGTATATTCCACTGGAAGCGATTCAAGCCGGGATATTATATCAGTCGCTGTTTATTGACGGTTCGTCTGCGCACGTTTGCGAATACATTTATCGCGATGACATTTCGCGGCGGACAATACCTTACGTAGCGCCGCCATTATGTAATCGGCGTTTCATGTAAATCGCATTTACACGATCCGTGCGTATCGCGCACGGATTGTTGGTACAATGCTTTCTTTTGTCCGAGCCGGCTCGCAATAGCCGCGCACGTTTTTACACACAACAGCGCGAGGATATTCGCAAGGATAAAACTCGCGTTAAGTCAATCCTGGCCGAATAGTATCCTTGACCTAGCGGGGGCCACGCTAATAATCCGACGATCCGGTGCCGGGGATAAAGCACGCGGTCGAGCTGGCAGAGCGGCGGGGGTTGATGGGCTCTCTCTCTCTCTGTTTGGCCGAATATGGTCGTTATTTAACAAAAAGAAACAGGTGTCGTGCAACGGGGCGGAATCACGCGACAGCCGAACAGGATTGTCGACGCGCACGCGATTGAGGTGAAAATTTCGAATGTTGCGTGAGTCAACAACGCCAAGTGTCGACCGTAAAAGTCGCCCGACGGAACGTGTGGATGTGTGTCGCGACGCGATTGCATATCATGCGCGAGGTTCATTTTCAGCTGCATGCGAGCAGCGTCGCGGTTGCTGCGAGATGAAAGAGAGAAAGAGAGAGAGAAAAGGAGGAGCAAACAGTCGAGGATCAGCCGGCCAAGTCGCGGCGGGAAAATTGACGGAGGAGAGAAAGAAAGTTGCGTCGGGGGCGGTGGGGTGGCACTGCGAATTTTACGACACATTCCGCCATTCTCTGTCGAGATGGCGGCGTGTACGAGTTAGTATGAGTAACGTTTGCGAGATATTCAATAATCCGTTCGCGAGTCGAAGTCTACGCTGCGCTTATAAATGTGGAGCGAATGTATTATAAAGTTTATGACAGGTCGGGTTACACTTCCCGGAAATATCGATTCCCATCGTGAATCGGCCGAAGCGACAGGCTGATATTCCACGCGCCTCTGTGAGCGCGCAGCGAAATCTAATGCAACATAAAACAATTCTTCCGCGCGCGCGAGTGCGCCCGTATTCGCGATAAAATTCGCAGCTGCCGCGAACGAACGCGCCATTGTTTTCAAGCGCGCGCGTTTGCTAAGATAATCTAATAACCCGTGCAACCTCTTTCTGCGGTTGCGTTACACGTGCCGTCGCTGCACTTGCTCCGTTGTCCAGGCTTTTAAAGATACTTTACATTTGCGTCAGTCCCGATCATCCCGGGCTGTTTATTGAACATTCGTGCCCGGCGCGTTGCCGGCGTTACCTCACTTTCGAAACGTTAGCTTTTCAATAAGCGAAGGATCATCACCGCAAATTTTTGCTTTCGGACAAATAACGGCGCAGTGCGGCCCGATAAAGCGCTTGTAATTCGGTTGAAATCGCGAGCGCACTTGAAACGATAACCCGGGGCGAAATACTTTGCCGTGATAGCCCGCGGTGTTATCTCTGCAGTTCGACTCGAACGCGCTAAATAATATGTCGATATTCCAGAGTGGTTAACGAAGAGACATAACCGACGAACAATGACCGCGGGGAAAATTCGACAGAGTAAAGAGGGAAGGAGAGGAAGAAAACGGATCGCGGTTTTGAGAGACGCGATAGGCGATACCGCGGCGAGTCGATGCGGTATTTTCATGTTCAGCGCGACGACATTACATGTTAAAACGGGAGCAGAGCCATTAAATGGATCGACTGTTGCGCGCGTCCAACACGAGGCGGTTACCATTGTTTCGTTTAACTGTGTGAATGACACTTTGTGGAAGCGCGAACGGGCGGCGTCTAGTCAGACGATGCACGCGATTAGCATAACGCCATTACAACGCGGCGATCAACTGTCGCATTACTTTCTGCTCGCTTCTGAGGGCTTCTTGTCCCGCTTGGAATCGTTCGTCGTCTATTTTTCCTTCGCGTCGCATTCTCTCTTAATTCTGCACGCACAAATGCGCACGCGCTTTTTTCTATAATAAATTTTCCGCGCTATCTTTGTATTCCGTCTGGAAATACAGCACCGAATAAGCATCGAGGGATGCCTTCCTTTTCAATTATTAAAAGTCGTTATTAGTTCTCCCATATTTCCGAGCAGATTGCTTTTCCCTTTTCACATCCCTTCTCGACTCGAGAGATCTTAACTGACCTTTCGCGTGCACATTCGTATTTTTCGGGATATACAGCGCAGAGTCTGTCGGGCTAAAC